TTTTTTTAAATAAAAAAAATAAAGAATGCCAGGCAAACACAGCAGTCTGTATAATTTTACCACCTCGGCATCCTGGCTACTAACACTGCATGGCTGGTTCCTGAACACTTGGAGCTCCACTTTCTAAAGCCCCTGTCCATTTAGCAATCTGCTTACTATAAAGAATATACCCTTTGGTTATAATCACTGTATTTGAAAATTTTTCAGTGTTCAATATTCTTCATAAAAATAGAACTTTTAGAACATTATGCTGATGATTTAAGGACTGGGGTTTATACCCTAATAAAATTGTTGTCTGTAAGGCTTCTTTTCTTATTCTATTGACCTGGATGACTGCTGGCTACAAAGTCCTAATCTGGGGATACGGTGCTAAAGGGGGGAGATGGGAGTAGACCTCTATTTTCTTGAAAAGGCAGCTCTAGCAGCTTCAGAAATCCCTAGCTGCCATGGAACGTGAGCTGAACACATAACGCACAGGATAGACGACTGTGAGAAGCTGGGATTTTTATGATTTTGCTGTCACAGTCCCAGCTGGTAACTACTCTGGTGGAATTTGGGGCACTTCAATTTAGGTGAGGTTTGTCCATTTCCTTGTGTATCATGTGTCGGACACCTAGCCTTCTTAGCTTCAGACAACTGATAGAACATAGATCCTGCAGAAAACGGTGTGAGCCAGAGGGTCTTAGGGATACTGATTTTCCAGTTTTCTCACCCTTTTGCAATTCTCCCTCCTTTTTATTCTCAGCATTAAGCTTAAGCTATTGTAGAATCTTGTCTGAATGAGATTTAGTTACATCCAAGTGATTTTCATGTCCTATCAAGCTGGTAAAAATGAAACTCTGCCCATAACTTCAAATTACATCTCCTTCAGAAAAATACAAGACTCAAATTGGTCTGTGAGCAAACTGAGCTGACTTCCCACTGAGATAAGAGGGCAGTTATTCCTAAAATGGGGACAAGGGATGGTAAAATGAAATGAAACGGGGAAGAATTTCCAAGGGCATTCATACATTCTTGTTTGCAAGGTCACACCTACATCCTACTTGAAAAGGGTTGAAAGTCCTGCACAGTCATTCAGCTATCCTTTCACCTGATTTTACTCATGCAGATAGACACTCCTGACATATTTCCAAGAGATACACTGAGACACAAAAACCATGCTTTCCAAAGCAGACAGGGTAGGAAAGTTAAGAGAAGGGAGGAAAGGGTGGGTGGTTGGACGCCTGGTAGGGAGATACTGAGCAAGGGGGAAGAGTTAGGAAAGTGAGCGGATACAAAAAAAGTAGAATAGTGACACTGACCATGGTTAGCAGACAGCCACATGGCTTAGTCCTATAAAATAAGCAAAGTAATTAGGCATCAAAAGAGTGGTGCTTCCACCTTTATCGATTCAGTTTTAAAGACTAAGAAGTACCTAAAGACGGCTGGAGGGAAGCCCAGGGGCTCTGGGTTTCTTTCTTAGTTGCACCTGTTTCAGAAGGACCTAGGCCAATAAATGAGGAAAACAACAGGTTCCCACAGGCAGAAACTCGAGCTAGTCCCCGCACCGCCTGGTGCCTGTGCCAAGAGCTACCAGAGCGCTGCCCAGGCCTCCACTACCCTGCCCTGTCCTGCCCGAGGCCAGTTCTGCAAGGCCAGGCAACAATGGCTTCCTGTCTCTCTGCGCCCAGGGTGAGACCCACTTTCCCAAGGCTCACCTGCTGGGAGCCAGGTGAAGAGGAGCAGCCAAGGTGCAGGCAGCTCGGGGCCCATGCCAGCCGCTCCCTGGCCCCTTTCTGCTCAGGGGCTCCGGGGGCACGTCAGCTCTCTTCCACAGTTTTCACCCCAGGACGCACCACTTCTCCAAGGAATCCCTCCGCCTTCCCCTCGCTCGGCGCGGCCCCGAGCAGGTGAGGTCCGGCTCATCCCCACCTGGGGCGCGCCCCTCAGCCCCGCCTCCCGCTCGGCGCACCGCCCTTTCCTGCTCCGCCCCCGGTCCCGGAGGACCGCGGCCACCTCTCTCTCCTACCTGCCACCGCCTCGCCTCTTCCACCGCAAGATTCCAGGTAGTTCTCCTCCCTGGAACCCCATCTCTTGCCACACCTTTCCCGCTTATAAAGAACGTTACCATTTTACCCCCCAGAAGTTCTTGGGAAATCTCACCCCTAGCAACTTTCTTACCCCTCTTTGGAGAATTTATGTGGACATAACTGTCTAGGTGCATTTCCTGCGTTATATTTCCATTCCCTCATGCGTGTTTGGAAAACTTTTTTTCCCCACTGAAAACACACTAATATGACGTTTGCACATAATGTTTGCTCAGGTTTTCTAGAAACTAAAGTGTATGGTATAAACTGGACAAATAGGTCTAATTTTCCACAAATATAAAACTCATAGATGCTTATTACAGAAAAGTTAGAAAAATATAAATTATTAGAAATAAGAAAAAAATCCTGCTCCCACCACCCATAGTTAGGCATTGTTAATGTTGGTGTATTCCTTTTTATTAGTTTCCATCCTTCATGAAGTGCAGCTCCACAGCCCCTCACTGACTCAGCCCCCACAAAGTCAAAGATTCTAGGTCACTTTGCACCAGGCCAACTAAGATATAATCCAGTCCTTCCTTCCTTGGCAGGAACCCACTAGGGAACCATAAAACACAGGAAGAAGACACACTTGCCTTCGGGAACCAACCAACGACATTAACCTGGAAAGTCACCTATACACTGGTCAATAGAAACAACAAGCTATTTTATACACCTCTCCCTTATTAGGGATTGTTCATTGTGCTCTCCCTCCTAGCCACCATCTTTTTCCTCAAGAAAAGAATTATAAAGGTGCATTAAACATGGTTTCTGCCCCTCAGGAAGCTCCCATTCTCATCAGTGACCTTAGAAGTCAATATTATTTCTCTTAAGATTATCTCCTCCTCTGCTGTGAAGGGTTCTCTTCACTAGAGCTACTCGTGTCCCTCATCTCACTTCCGCCCAGAGGAACATCCTTGTCCTGAGACTAATTGGTGGTCAACCCAGTCCCTTCTCCCAATTTCCCCTCCTTCCCCTTTAGTCTGCCCTCTAGTTCCCCAATTGGCCTCTCCCCTTTAAATGTTTTTTCCTGTAGCCACTTCTCTTCAAGAAAGTAGGAAGTAAATTCAGGCAGTAAGTACATGGCCAAAGGCAGATGGTACAGAATGTTCAGGGGCCTTTAGACCTTCCACAGTGGGATCTTAGCACAGCAGCAGAAGCAGGATATAATGTGAGGGATGCTCCCCCTACCCCCTCCAGAGACTGTGCACATGCTGTCAGGAACATTGTATGTATCTGAGTGTTTGTGACCCTGAGGGATTTGTGTGGCTCCTGGATTTGTAAATTGCTCTAGGCAAATGTTCAATCCCAGTCTAAAAAAGTATGAGCCCTCACTTTCCCAAACCTACCTCCTACGCCCTTCAGTCCTTGTTTTGATATAAAGGTCAGTTTAATACTACATGCATCTTATTTCTGTACCACCTGTAAAGGTAGTATTCCACCTGTATGAAGCAATGATCTAAGAGCCTTCTGTGCATTATCTCATTACATTTCTACAATAACTATATAAAATAGGGACTGTTATTCTGTTATTATCAATCCCATTTTACAGATGTAGAAGCTGAGGTACAAAGAAGTAACTTGACCAAGGTAACAAAGCTAGTAAGTGGTGGAGTTATGAATCTAAATGAGGCAGTCTGATTCCAGACCTTCTGCTGTTAGCTATTACACCATACACTCTCACCTAGCTATGTCTCAATCTGTGTTTACAGTTAGGTTATCAGCTAAGGCAGTTTGTTTCCACATATATCATTTAGCTCTACAGAAAGTAAAACTCCATTCCACTACCGTGAGCTCTCCTGGACCAGTTATTCTGCCAACATGTACCATTGGTTCAATAAAGATTTGATAAGAATATACATTTGGCTCAGAACAACAAACAGTTCTTTCATTGCTAAATATAGAAGTAAAAATCACTTGACCTGCTGATAGTGACGGAGACAAAAGTGTCCTCATATACAAAGTAACAATAGGTAGTATTTATTAAATGCTTATATTGTGCTGGGCACTATTCTCAGCACTTGAATAATTCTCTCAACAACATTCTGAAGCAGGTATTATTATTGTCCCCATTTTACAGCTAAGGAACTTGAGGCACAAAGATTCAGTTACTTACCGGGGGTCACCCAGCTTGTAAGCAGAAAAGCTGAGAGGTAAACTCAGGTAATCTGCCTTTGGAGAACACACCCTTAATTATTACCCTAGCCATATTGTGTTTCTTTGTGTTCACTCGTCTAGGGTCTAACCACAAAGTACCGAGCTTATGATTTCATCATTTATAATCATACTTTCTAGTTAAAACTGTCCATAAATATTTCTGAATACTGTGTCTATATATACATATGCATCTCTGCTTGAGAATAGTTTGATATTTGTACATGTGTGTATTTATCAAGAATGGAAGAAAGAAAATAAATATGTAATAAAAATCCTGCTCCAGTTAAACCTAAAGGGAGGCAAGAAATGAAAGTAGCTAACTGATGCTGCAACATTTGGAAATATCTCATTCATTTTGTATGTCTGGCATACAAAGAGCATAGCACCTGGCATATTGGTAGTACTCAATAGATATAGTTGAGTTCTTTATAGTTGCTGGAGTAAGTGACATGTAAGCTGGGTTTGAAAATGAACAAGACTTTGTCAGAGCAATCCAAGCAGAGAGACTGTGTGCAAAAATCATAGCACCAGGAAACAGCATAGTTGAACTATAAGCACTTCAGTTTTGCCAGGGCAAGTGGGGAGTGGTAGGAGAATTTGTTAGAGAGCCAGGGTAAATAAAGGGCCTTGCATGACCAGCTGGAGAACTAAGACTTTATACAGTAGACATTAGGGAGGCAGCAAAGGGTTTTAAGCTGGACAAGACATGATCAGACTTGCGTGTTAGGAAGATAAACTTGTCAGCAATGAGAAGAATGGTAAGCAAGGATTGAGATGAAAGGCAGGGAGATCAGTTAGGAAACTGTTACTGTGGTCAAGATGGAAATACTGAAGGCTCAACCCAGTCATTGGTGTTGAGAATGGGGAAGAAAAAATACTTTGGCAGACATTTAGAATGTAGAATTGACAAGACTGATGGTAAATTAGATGTGGGAATTGAGAGAATATATATTTCTGATTATTAAGTTTGTGTAGATGGTGTTGCCATTCTACACAGATATACAGAAAAAAATTTGAATCATTTTAGACACATTTGCACCTGACAGAATAGTGGAGTATCCAAATGAAACCCCCATGGATGGTTCGACACCTTTATTAAGTACAGTTGTTTGAGTGGGGTTGGTAGGAACTACATGCTTAATAAGAGAGGTCTGGGTCAGATGGGACTGGGAGACCTACTTTTTGGTCAGTGGAATATAATCCAAGATACAATTCATCTGGGAGTAGGGCTAAAAGCAGGAGGTGAAAAAATCTGGGGAAAGGAGTTTCAGAACAAATATATTCATTATTACCACTCCTATTCAACATTATACTGAATCTTCTAATTAGCATAATAAGAAAATTTAAAAGGCTGAAAATGAATAAAGATATTGTTATCACAGTGTTTTGATTACATAGACTACTGAAGAGAATCTATATACATAAGGGCTAACAAGAAGTTGCTGAAAACAAGGTCAATATGTTAATGTCACTGGCATCTGTATATACCAGGAACATCCATTTGGAAGATATAACTTTAAAATATACATTTGTGGGGAACCTGGTTGGCTTAGTCGGTTAAGTGTCCAACTCTTGATCTCAGCTCAGGTCATGATCTCACAGTTTGTGGGATTGAACCCTGTGTCATAAGCCTCTCCATTAACAGTGTGGAGCCTGCTTGGGATTCTCTCTCTCTCTCTCTCTCTCTCTCTCTCTCTCTCTGTCCCTCCCCGCCCCCCTGCTTCAAAATAAATAAATAAACTTTAAAAAATAAAAATAAAATATACATTTGTAATAGCAGTAAATCTATAAAGTAGGAATAAATCTAACAATATATGTGAAATAGCTCGATGGAGAAAATTGTAAGAAGTTAGTAAAAACACTTTTCAAAGATGTAAATAAATGCAAAGATGTACCATATTCATAGATAAAAACAATATCACTAAAGACAGTATTTTTTCTGAGTTAATTCTAAATATTTCTAAATTTTTTTTTTCAACGTTTATTTATTTTTGGGACAGAGAGAGACAGAGCATGAATGGGGGAGGGGCAGAGAGAGAGAAAGACACAGAATCGGAAACAGGCTCCAGGCTCTGAGCCATCAGCCCAGAGCCTGACGCGGGGCTCGAACTCACGGACCACGAGATCGTGACCTGGCTGAAGTCGGACGCTTAACCGACTGCGCCACCCAGGCGCCCCAAATTCTAAATATTTCTAACGAAAACCTGAAAAATCTCCCCAGAACTTCCTAACATATTCTTAAAATCAAATGGAATACAGTGGTAAATAGCTAAGATAATTTTGAAGAAAAATAAGAAGGAAGAGGGGAATTTGCCTCTTTAAATGAAAAAGCTAGAGCACTTAAAACCATGTGGCAGTGGCATAGATAAGCAAACAGACAAGTGGAACGAAGACAAAAGAGATTCTGGAAACATACCCATATAGATGGGAACTTGATATATTACAGAGATTGCATTATAATTCAATGGGGGGATAGGGATAACCATAAACTATTCAATAAGTGATGCTAGGACAATTAGTGTTTGTTATGTT